TTGCTCCACCGTGATAAATCGACTCGGCTAAATTGAAAAAAAACGCAAAATTCATGTGTTAAAAAGTGAATTTCTGTCTGACGACGCGACAAAGGTTCACATACTGTTTAGGAAAACGTGCGATTACTAGTAAACAACACATCGTGTATGTAACGGGAAGAAAATAACAAGCACAACTAACCTGTCGGCCATGTTGTATAATGCAATATGGGTAATATGTAAAGTAGGTCGTATTCGTGAGGTCCTATTTGAGAGCTCACAGATACGACCCAAAGTGGCGTGCGCATAACCCGTCTCTAATTAACAGAATGGAAGATTTCCGAACAGCGCCACCAAGTGGAATTATAGATTGTCAAAGTTTGTCGCGCGGGAGATGTAAATTATGTTGGAATTGACATACCATAATCCAACCTTTTGAAATTTCAGTTGATTTGATTGGTCAACATATACACATATGATCATTGATGAAACTGTTAAAAGAGAAAGTTAAATACTGATTTCAGAGTCTAGTGTTTTGCTTCTCATTACCCAGTTATTGTCTTGAGGGCAGTAGTTTATCCTCAATCACAGTTAATTAGCGAACAATATATGCACGTTTGTTTAATTGACATAATATATTACATAAGTAACATTTTAAGAACAACTTAATATACTAATAAAAAGGCAAATATATATTTATCTTACAAATACTCATTGTTTATTCATTTCAATTCACTTAAGGCAAATATTACCCTGATTTACTTTCTACATGGCAATGAAATGAACTTGCATGCAAGCATCTACACAAAGTAAAATACAATTCTGAAATGATTGTCATTAACTAATAAATTAAGTCTTCTATGTTAGGTTGCAATATTTTACAATATCTTTCTAAATTTGATTTTAATAATATTCATTCATTGTTATATATTACAAATTACTGGATGGAATCAGCATGGATGGATGAATCAATGTACAACTGGGAACAGAATTGAGTGAATGTTCCTTGTATGTCGTTGGGTGTTACCACGTGTGATGTTCAAGTGCTGTGACTAGTATTCTGTTTGCTTGTGTAATAGCATAGTCTTTGTAGTATGTACTGTAAAATACTTTATTTTCACTTGCAGTTTATTTTTTCGTTATTCTCACTGAAGGGCCGATTCAGTGAGAATAAAATACCTTTCATCCTGTATTTTAAAATCAACTCGTTAAAAATCTCCAAATCATCTTTTTAGCGAAAATATTAATTCCGGCTAAATTAAATTATTTGACAGTATCTGATACAGACTTCGCCACTGTCCCATGACATAAGCCACAATAATCACAGCATAGACAATGCACATGCTTTTCTGACCTCGGTTGTATGTTTGGCATCAGCACATTTTGTGAGGTACTCTTTAGTAAAATGATTGGAATTAAACTGTGTAGCATTACAAGGTGAACTTTTATAAATTATTGCTAAGATTTAAAGCAGTTCAAGGTGAAGTCAAATTATGCATTACTCAGCATTTTACTACACACGTATGCAATGTTTTATGGGAAATAGTTTCCCATTGTAAATAATGGAAAACTATTATCACCCTGGAAACTCATTAAATTATACATAATTTTTTTGAAATACTTTCGCAATAGTAGAATCCATATCAATGTCTTTTTCATCCCATAATTCCAAGCAAAATTTTGAGACAATAATCGCACCATAGAAACCAATGTAAAAATACCAGTTTAGTCAATACAAATTATTTACAAAATTTTGCCTGATTGGCTACCCATCCCTGACACGGTAAGACCAATCAGAATTCAGCTTATTTATTGATAGATTTTTTTTTTGTCGTATCAGATTCCGATTTGTATATAATGCCTCGATTCCATTTTTCATGGTAGTTCTGTTTCTTGTATTTTGAAACATTGAACCAACAACAATGAAAATATGATCAACAGCTCAATTGAATTTGTGAGAAATGTTGTAAGACAAACATCGACCTTTATAGCTCGTGACAAAACTAAAACATTTCCAAGTGTACAAGACGACACAACAAAGCAATTACAGCATATACAGCACTCAATGTTTATACAGTGATAAATACTTTTGTATTTCTTCCAATTATTTAAAAAATCCGAAACTGTATGTCAACTTATCAATTTACTTACATTAATTGAGTGTTAGTCGTTGATTCGCAAAATGCCTATATATAAATATAAATATGCTACGAAGCAGGCGATAAAACGGAGACTAAATATTTTCACTTATAAGTGACTATTTAGAGCATAGCTCTAATAATAATGCATTTTATTTTTAGAATTCATTTTAGAAAGTTGTAATATATACAAATATCTTGCATAATGCAAATATGTGGACGGACTACATTCATTCATTGCACACAAAAAGAAACACAGGAATTCACGAGTACAATAAATGACAACAGAAAATACAGTGCAGTTAATAAAAAAATAAAAAACAAGCAGCCTCTCGGCTGAGATAGCTCCGCTGTTAGCAATGCACATTTCAATTAAAGAAGAGAAGATATCATTAGAAAATGAACAATATGCATAGTACTGTATCAATGCAATGGGACTTGCTGTTTTCAACAAGAATTCAAAAATATCATTTTTCACCATAAATGATTGTGGTTTTTAACAAGAAGAAAATATCACTTTTTACCAAAAATGACAAAAATATTCACCAAAATTAGAGAATTAAAGATATCATTACAAAATGAACAAATCTGAGAGAGGTCCACATGTAGTACCTATATATATAATATCAAAGCAATTGGACTTGCGGTTTTTAACAAGAAGTTGGAAATATCACTTTTTACCAAAAATGACAAAAATATTCACCAAAATTAGAGAATTGAAGATATCATTACAAAATGAACAAATCTGAGAGAGGTCCACATGTAGTACCTATATATGTAATATCAAAGCAATTGGACTTGCGGTTTTTAACAAGAAGTCGAAAATATCACTTTTTACCAAAAATGACAAAAATATTCACCAAAATTAGAGAATTGAAGATATCATTACAAAATGAACAAATCTGAGAGAGATCCACATGTAGTACCTATATATGTAATATCAAAGCAATTGGACTTGCGGTTTTTAACAAGAAGTCGAAAATATCACTTTTTAACAAAAATATTCACCAACATTAGAGAATTGAAGATATGATCATGAAATGAACAAATCAGAGAGAGGTCTACCCAAGGTACATATACAACAAGTATCAAGGCATTCAGGCTTGTAGGTTTCAAGAAGAAGTCGAAAAAGTAAAACATTGACACGGACGACGGACGCCGGACGACGACGACGGACAATCACTCATATGATAAGCTCCGCTCGACAAAGTCGACAGCGGAGCTAAAACGTATTCTTACATTTTTTTTTTCTCTCTTGAAAAAGCAAAACAGAAATATTTACAATCAGAATATAGTACTAAATAGGAATAAACATCCACATCTTTTATTTTTCAAAGACATATGCAAATCAGTAGTTATATCACATGATGTATATTAACCAATGACAATAGCCCTAGTGATTATGAATGTGCATTTGCAATGGAATAGCTGTATATTTAAAGGAAAGACTTCATGCATCAGTTTCTTTTCTGTAATTTATATTCTCAATTTAAAATAAAGCAAACAAAAATCACAATTCTTAAAGGGGGGGTGTAATCAAAGATAAATCATGATCCAAAATTGAGATGGAAATTAAAAAGACTAATATTAATTGTCTAATTAGACTGCAATAAAATAATTTGTTTCATTGTTTGATAAAGGGTATTGTACATTTAGGACAGAGAATCATAAATGAAGAAACCAGAAGAGTCTAATAATAGCCATCTATTCTCCCTCACAGTAATTAGCTGTGTTTTGTGGTGCGGGTTCTGCTACAGGTGGGGCAGTTGGCGCTGCAGGCGTCGTACGCGCAAAACTAGGTTCTGTGCATACAACTGGAGGAGGTAGTGGTGCGGGCATGCTGACTGGCATGCTGACTGTTGGTGGTGATGGAACCATTTCTGCTGGCGTGTCTTGTTGTTGAAGCGCTGGGGGCGCTGTCTGCATCAAGATGGGAGGGGATTGAAAGCTTTCATTTGTGCTTGCAAGAACTCTTTTCGGTTGTACTTGTGAAAGTTCTTTTAGGGGGCCGACTGCTGCTCGGTTTTCATTCCCAACCAATGATAGCGGAGTTACTATCTCTGATTTTGGAACATACCATTGCAGACACATTGCAACGCTTTCCCTCATCAGAGGAGCTGACGCCGCTCGACTTCGCCGGAGATTAGTGAGTGATGTTTTTCTGTCGTACACTGAAGGAATTGCTGTGTTAATATACTGATGCGTCTTCACAAATGGTACTGGTCGGTCCTCCACATCTCCAGTGTTCATATTCGTGTTTACTCGAGGGTTAGGCTGTAAATGTCTATGTACAAAGCGATACGTGGTCAACGGCCTCTCATCAATGGGCGGTTTCGGATCAATAGGCATAGCTGTATTAGGCCTCCTGACTGAGTTTATTAAAATCTGTGGAACACTTCGCGATGTCGCCCCCGTCTTGTAGTCATTCCTGTACGAGGATACTGATGGACCAGCGCTCTTAATATCCTTGGCATGGGGTACCCAGGCGATGAAATCTGGTTGATAGGCACCTTTTTGCTTAACTTCTAATTTTTTCTTTCCCAATCCCTGAGAATATACAAGAGAAATAATTTATCACAAATTATTTCATTAGTTATATAAACAAGCAGCCTGTCGGTTGAAATAGCTCTGCTGTTAGCAATGCACATTTCAATTACAGAATTGAAAATATTATCACTCACAAAATGAACAAATCTGAGATTGTTTCACATAAGGTACCTATATGTATAATATCAAAACCATAAATTTGCAGTTTTTAACAAGAAGTCAAAAATGTCACTGTTTACCAAAATGACAAAAATATTCATCAAAATTAATGAATTGAGCATATCATCACAAAATGAACAAATCTGACAGAGGTACCTAAGGTATAATATCAAAGTAATCTCTCTTGTGGTTTTCAACTAGAAGTTGAAAATACCATTTTTTACCATAAATGACAGAAATACTCACCAAAATTAGAGAATTCAAGATATAATCATAAATTGAACAAATCTAAGTGAGATCTACACAAGGTACATACACACCAAGTATCAAAGAAATCAGATTCGTAGTTTTCAAAAAGAAGTCGAAAAAGTAAAAAGTTGACACAGACAATGACGGGACAATCACTCATCTGATAAGCTCTGCTCGACAAAATCAATAGCAGAGGTAAATACTCAATAAATGTTTATACCGGTATATAAAATGCAAACTTCTATTGTAAAACATGCAGCACAATGGGATATGAATGGAAACATTATGAAGAAAAACACTTGCAACAACAGGGTATGTGGTATTAGAACAATAATTTCATTCATTCCTTAAACGTCAATATGTTCATTACTGCGATAACTAAGAATTCTGTAAAGAGAATGTTTACAATATTCACAATACATGTATAATGTATGCTCTAAAGTTGGGAGTGACAATGTACACACACAAAAAAATAAATAGAATAAAAATTAATTAAAATTAATTAATTAAAAACTTTCCCAAAATAGATGCATTTAATTATTTTAAATGTCTTATATTTTTATTCTAATTTTAAAATTATTCTGTCATTTGGATTTTCCATGAAACTGAATTTTTTTTTCCTTTAAATTCTCAAATTTTTATTTAACAGATGTGCGCTGTGCAATGACCAGAAACCAAATTATTTTAATCTAGGCATCATTGAGGACAGGTTTCTAAGCATTAAAGCATTAAAATGAAAAAAAATTGCTGGGTTAAAGCTAATTTGCTGATTCTTTGGAAAACATGCAATGTTTTTTTTATTTCAATAAAAAGAAAAGTGGGGAATCAATGGTAATAGTACATATTTTAACATAAAGCAATTTATTACAACAATGGCAACGCATGATGTATCTAAAGTTAAAATCGATTTAGGAGTTGAATAAAAGCAGCTATAAAAAATAATCCCTGGTAATCTGCAGATATTGGAGATTAGTAGTGAATCGATATATACTTAATATCGACCCTGTTTTTATCTCTTAGTACACTGAATAACATTCTTGTGTTATTGCATTACTTGATAAATAAATAAAAGTGAAAAATGATTTGTGCAAGCATTATTGCTGGAAAAAAAATATAATTCTATAATTGTTGTAATCCATTTAATTAGAATTGTTTGTTTATTTATTTATTTTTCTCAAAAATATAAGCTTGGTTTATTAAAGAAATATAAAGTTAGCTTTGTGTCGATTTTTTAGATTCACTTATTCATATTTTGGCTAGACTTTTATTATCCCTTGTTTCGCAAACCCGCCAAATGAACAGGAGCCGAAAATGAAATAAAAATAAAATATTATTTCAGCGTAATTTCTCGCACCTGTCGACTTTTAAGTGCAAAAAATTGCTAAAAAAAATTATTTTTATTTTCATTTTGTTTCAGCCCGCCGCATAACAAAACCAAGATCCTTTTTTTGTGGAAGTATCATGATCAAATTACCGAAGTCTCGCGCAGATCAGAAACAAGGTGATACATGGAATAAAATTTTATTTCATTTCTTCTCTTTGATCAATGATCTCACTTAAATCTAATGGGAAAAAAAGAATTAATTTTTTTTTTTCCCGTCCTCCTCAAATAAATTGCCATATAAAAACTCAAGAAACAAGGAATAAAAAAAGTCTGGTCTTAAAAAAAAATCAACCAAAATCTTGAAACATGTCTGCTTGAACTATATATAGTTGCACATTTTATCTAGGGTAGTCTTCCAATTATTTACGAACAATACATGAATAATAAATAGGACGTGAATTTCTATAAAAAATATAAGTATTGCATTTCGGAGTGGCAAATGTTTTTTTGTCCAGTAAGAGGAAAAGTAAAAGTGTTGTGCTGCAAATAACAACAGTGTAATTACAATGGCGATGAACATTCAACTTGAAAACACAATAGAGACAATAGGCATTGTTTATGATCTCCTTCATGATGCTATGGAAACTCAACAAGGTTTTCTGAAAAGTCGACCAGCAACGTGAGATGAAGCGACGTCACCTTACGATGACCGACAATTTTATTTTTTAACATTTCAAATTATTTGTTTAACAATAGTTTTCATAAAATGACAAACTTTTAAAATATTGAGACATGGTATAAAAATAATATTACGAATGCTCAATATATCTATAATGAATATTTACACGTTAGATGTGTAATGTATATAAATCAAAGACGTTGATGTGTTGTTTTTTTATTTGATTTATTCCTTAAATGAAAACATTAACAAATTATTCCAGTTGTGAAAATAAAATAGAAACCTACTTTGAGAAAGTTTATAAAAAATTATTATTATAAAAAAGTTATTATATACAACCATAGAAGTGTGGGCTCCAGTATTTTGAGAATATGTACGTAATACTGTTTACAATCAGAAAACTTGTTTCAATCAGAAAAAGGTTTCAATTTCCCTAGCAAAAACTTTTTTTTAAATATTTTTAGGAAAAAAGAGGGCATGTGCTGTGTTAATGTGCAGTTTTGGGTTGCTAAGATTGAATACTCAAAACCACCATTCTCCTTGTGAAAATCACAAGTGGATTAATTTGAATCAAAGTGATGTTGACATTTCTAGACTTTTGTTATACAGATTGGCTATAAAATGAATAAATGTATTTCACTAATCAGATAACAAGTAGAGTTCACTTTATCTGGCCTAATTAGGAACTTAGTTTAAAGTCATACTAATGTGCATTAAAATCACTGGAAAATCAGCAGAAATTGAGTTTGGCTTTTACCAAAGCATTCTTTAGACTTTAGCAGTGGTTTGACATTCAATGTTTTATCTGACATTTATCAGGCACTGTATACAGGAAGTGACATCACATGCTATTAGGCCAATTTGATTCACTCTCTGTCTGCCATTAGAGGCATTGTATCCAGGAAGTGACATCACACTATAATGGACCAACTTGATTCACTCCTAGCAGACAGAAAACTGAAAGAGCCTGCTTTAAACTGAAACTTCCCGATTGAAAGTATTTGTTGTTATATTTTGGTAGGTTAATTCAGAAATGACCAAATTCATTCAATATTAAAATTGTGTTTAATCACAATTAGATTCACAGAACGTACATTTACTGTTTTGTAATTTAGCTGACATTATGAATTCTTGTACGTTTATTCCAATTCTCAATGGAAATATGCAAATGATTTTACTACTATAAAAGTCTATAATTACATTATAATTAGTGGTTCTACACATATACATGTTAGATTTCTTTTAAACTTTTCTGTAAAAAACTACCGGTATATTATATATGGCAGAATATATCCCACCAATATTGTTAATATATATATATGTACATATATATATATATATATATATATACCGGTATATATATATTTTTTATTTTTATGTTAAATTTTGACTAAGGTAGTTCAATCTGTCATTGTCTTTTACACATTTAAGTCATCACAAAGCACATGTTGGAAAGCAAGCATTGTACACATATGCAACCAATATCGAACACAACACGTTGTGATGAGTATGGTGATTTAAACAAAGCTTAGAGAAAACAAACAGATTTTATAAATCACAGCAATATTCTAATATTGCTTTCTGTTTTCTAACTTGATTCAAAAAACATTTTTAACAACGTTCTCAAATAAAAGGCGTTGTGACGGCTTATTTTGTTCAGTGAGAACACTATAAGATCACCACCATACATTGTACAGTGTACGTAACAGTAATATCCAGTCAAATCTGAATACATTCAATATATTATACTGTATTGATTTCCTGTGCAGACAATTTTTTTTATATTGACTATTTCCTTACTAACATATTCAGAATACCTAACACTTAAAAGTATGACTGTCTGCGATTATAAAACATGGAAATTTGAACATTTTTCAACATTTTTATTTTCGTGACGTCAAAATCTACCAATATTGAATTACGAGTGTGAAATTGGGGATTCCATGCTGGAGAAAATATTGAAAAAGTCCATACCTCTTTTAGCAAGTATATACTAAAGGCACTTGAACTGCTGCTGAAAACCTTTAGAATGTCTTGTATTGTTAAATATTGGTTAAACATCCAGGATTGTGACAAGATATTAAATGTTGTTATAATTACCAATTTGAAATAAATGAAAGAGGTTATACATGCTGGGCATATAACCTAATAGAATTGCTGTTTAGTTTTGGTCTCGGTATAACTTGGGATATACAAGGGGTCGGCAATGTAAATATGTTTGTGTCCACCTTTAAACAAAGATCGTCTGATATTGCTGCACAACAATGGTCAATCAGTTTGCAATCCTTTTCCATGCTTGACACCTATAGTCTCTATAAAAATTATCGGGTTTTAAAGAAATATCTGTTCTCTATCAATAACAATTTTCTCAGGAGTTCCGTATGCAGATTTCGTGTTTCTTGTCACAGATTTCACATCAAGAGTGGTAGGGCGGTAAATATTCCCAGAGAAAGAAGAATCTGCACTTTATGTACTTTACAGAAAGTGAAAACAAAATATAAAAATAAATTTTCATTTTTGTTGCGAATGTCCCTTTTACAAACTTTTGAGAGAAAAATTTCTTCCCCCTTACTATTACAAATACCCATC